AAATGGCAGCAGGAGGGGATACAGGGTGACCTTCCCTCTTCTAACCAGACTGGGTGGGGGGAACACAGCCAAGTCAGGCTACTAGGGGAACATCACTCACTTACATGGCTTTTGCTTTTTATCTTTGGAGGTGGGGACTCACGGGCCCTTCAATTGCCATGATTTAGTTATCAGCAAGCTACTCCCAACTTTCCCTCTGCTACTCACTCTCCCCAGAGCGCTCTCCTTTTTAATGAAGCACTAACATAGCTTTCACATTCACAAGGTGGGGGCCGGAGGTGAAGGTGATGCTGGTTCATGCCTTCACCACCAGCCTGCTCTCATACCCACAGGCCCAAATGTCTATCTTGCAACGCCTACCTCAGTGCCACGGTAGCTGAGCTGGCTCTGCAGCCATAGAAGATATGATGTCCTCCAAAATATCTGTTGGGGGAGAAATTTCCAAATCCTCCCAGATTTTCAGTAACATGAGAAAAATACCTCCAAGGGCACTGGGCAAGCAGTAAGACAAAACCAGTGTTACCTGTCAAGTAATTATTTCCACCTATGCTTTAAATCCTGTAGGCACTGGGGCTATCATAATGTGTATACTACGTAAAGGCCTCCAGCTCCTTTTTTTTTTAGCAATCTGACAAATAGAAAGTACATGTCTGTGGCAAAGACATTTAATTGTCCTCCTTAGTACAAAAGCCCTAATGTTCAGCTGGATTCATGGATGCCGAGTATGAAGACCACATTGATTTCCTAGCCTTCTTGGTAGGTACATATGGTCATGTGACTAGGTCCTGGGATACAAACAAAAATGTCATCAGCCACTTCTGGAAAACTCTGTCCAGACAAGATCTTTGATGGTTATTCACGTGGAACCATCAGAAAGAGTCCATTAAAAATGGAGGTACGGGGCCAGCCGAGTGGCTTGTTGGTTAAGAGTTGGCTTGGGACGCCAGCTTTTAGCAGCAGGACCCCAGTTTGGATCCCACATGAGGGCCAGTGATGCTGCACCCTCTACAGTTAAGGTGGTGAACAACAGCTCGACCTGGAGCTGGGCTGCTGTGAGTCGCTGGCAACGGCGTAGGCTGCAGTGGGGCTGGCCGTGAGCTACCGTGAGCAGCCGTCCAATGGCCGGCGAGCGATCTGTCTCACCCGGGAAGAGCACAATGACAATACCAACATGGGCCAGTGAAGCAACGTCCTCCACAACTAGACTGAAGAACAAAAGGACAACAACTTGTCTGTTCCCCTTCCCCGATTCCCCAATGCTGTTCCCTCCCCCCAATTCCCCAATAAAACTTTTTTTAAAAAAATGGAGGTACATCCTTCTTTACCCCCTCCACCTGCTAACTGGATAAAACTAAGACATAAATGCTTGGGTCACCTCTTGGAACCACCTGCTGATGGTGGCAGAGCAACTCACCTGGGTCCTTGACACTGTGGGACACCCATCTCAGTCCATCTCATTTATAAGAGAGAAAACTCTCATTTACAGGAGAGAAATAAGCTTTAATCCTGTGTATGCCCCTTTAAGTTGAGGATGTCTGTCTCACTCAGCTGAACCTAACCGTAACTGGCCTAGAAACTGGTACCTGAATGGGGTGTGCTAAGGTTTAGATCTTGTGCACAAGGATCGTCAGGGCACAAGAACCAAGACTTAAAAACTGCAGCCTAAATGGAGGATCTGGGCGGGGGCAGCTGGCAAGGACATAGGTCTCCAGGTTCACCACGGACAACCACTGTCATACAGCCTGGCCTTCTGTAGCTTGGGAGGTAGACAAGGTGTTTGCTAGAAGTTGTGTCATTATAGGAAATAGCTCTGAAAATTCAAAACATCAGTCCTTCTTGACACTCTAAGCAAAGTTCAATGAAAGAGAAACCATCGCCGCTAGAGCTAACCAGTGTTAAGGTGGAAAAGAACACAGATTTGATAAGAGAGGGGCTCTGTCGGCAACTGGCAGCTAATTAATTTGAAATAATGAATTTGGAGGAGAGCTCTACTACCAAAAAGACGAACGAGTGGGTCCCGGAGCACACGAAACCTGAAATATCACTGGAGGCGAAAATGATGAAACTGAAGCTGTCCTTCTTGGGGCACATCGTGAGCAGGCAGGGTTCTTTGGAAAAAATAACAATGCTGGGGAAAATATAAGACAGCAGGAAAAGAGGAAGCACAAATACGAGACAGACTGATTCCATAAAAGAAGCCATTGGCATGAGTCTACAGTAGTTGAGCAGGGCTGCTGAGGACAGGACAGTGTGGACGTCACTCATTCGGAGAGTCACCAGGAGTGGGAGCCAACTCAGCTGCGCGTGACACACAGGTACTTTCCCCTCCTTTCTTAGCAAGAGAGCGCCCACTGTTTAGCTGGTACGAGTCCTCAGGGTATGGGGGTGGGGAGTGGGGTAAAGGATGTCAGACACCTTACCATAAAGATCTATACCTAAAGTTCACTTCTATTCCAGTCCATTAGGAAAGCGTCACTCAGTTGCCACCGAAACGACAGATGTAAAGAAAGAAGCAAGCATGGAGCAAACCTGGTCCATGGTTTAGAAAACTCTCCTTGCCCCGCCTAGCTGACCCGCTGATGTGTTGTACCCTATAATGATTATAAACATCCAGAAACAGGAACACTGGTGTGATGACAGAGCTTGACTCTGTTCCAGTGATGACCCTAGGCACTGAAAGATGATGTAGGAAATTAGTCAATACATGTAAAGAACATAAAAGCAGTGTCTGGAAGACAAAAGCGTTCAATACATGTTAGCTATTATTATTATTACCACCACAATACACTGTTTCCATAAGGATAGCTTATGGAAGATCAAATGGAATATTAGCTGTAGAAATGTTTTTGGTCTTACTCTTAGAAATAAGCCATATGTTTCATTTATTTATCTCACAGTCCCTTTTTGGACGATTTTGGGTCATTTGGGAACCAAAGTGACCTCTTTAAGTTCCTTCTCCTAAGAAAGGCTGCAGTTCCCCTGCAGCCCTGGGACTTCTCAGGAGGCTGCAGCGAGTAGCTTTACCTCTCAGCGTTGGGGAGGAACCCAGGTGCGCAGTGGAACACCGTGGGTAAGCTATGATGAGCAACAGCTATTTATTCAATATGTGCTCTGGCCAAGCGGAGGGGCTAATCGTTAACCATCAAAGCCATTTCACTCTCTGCACTCTGCAGAGACCAGACAAGAAGAGACACAAAAAAGATTCTAAAACTCCCTCGGAAAAGTTAAAATATTTTTCTAATTTGTACAAGAGAAACTCTTAATCCGACAGAAGTTTCTGACTCTGCTACGGTCAGGCCCAGCTGTACACTTTTACAGACCCAAGTTGCTTAGGACAGAATTTTACCTCTTAAAAGAGGTTCAATATCAAAAAGGAACTGGCTGATACTCAAGGGCACTGACGCAGTGTACGTACATGGCACACTTTTCCATCCTAAGCACAGGCTCAGCTGGGCATCAGGAAACCCAGCCATCTGCTCCCACAGGAGGCTCCGTCTGCCCCCTCCAGCAGGGCACTCACAGGCCTCTTGGGAACGCACTGCCCACTACCCACGCTCAGGGACCACATAGCTCCAATGTCTCAAGATTGTCCAACATCAAATAGTCTTCACTTCTGACCACGGAAATAACAAAAATGTCGGGAAGTGCTGATGTTTTACTATCTGAATTTCGCCTCCCCAGATCTTGTGTTAAATGCTGTGTCTTGATTTTTTTCATGCAGAAAATGTAATTGTAATGGGGTCACCCTTCGATATCACAGTGTTCACCCACGTAACAAAAGACTATCACGGGGTTTATACCAGCAAGGAAAGACTGTTCTATCTACAAGAACTGGCTTTTTCCTTCTTCTCTATTGGGAAGCGGGGGACTGGCAGGGAGACGTGTGGAGGCAGGAGAGGTTGGGAACGCCAGGGGGTGGGGGGAACGTACTATGACGACACAAAAGCACTCAGTAAACAAGCTCTGTGCGTTACCATGGCATACAGTCCCCTTCCTGCTCCAGTCCACTGCTCTGCCAACTCCCCCACACGAATGCTTTTTCTACATCCTACACACGCACTAAAAGTGCCATTTCCGTGACTTTCAGTATGAGAGTCAAGAAATCCTCAAGTTATCTCGTCATTTTATATCAACATGCTATTAAATTCCAGAAATTATTAGGAAGAAAGGTCAAGATATTTCCATATGTTGAGTTATGCATCGACTTGTGCAGTCCCATGGGTAAAAGTGCCTAGAAACTGTGAATCCAGGTTTTTGGGAGGAAAGTTACATTCCTTACATTTTAGTCCCATGTTGAGGGAGGATGCTTTTCATACTCACTCCCTCTATAACTCTACTTTTTAAACTATCTCAACGTAAACGTATTAATTAACACTAACTAATTTGGGACTTAAAAATTGCTTTCATCTGGTTTCCATTTTTTAACCTTTAATCAAAGTCCAGGCAACAGAAGGAATACAAAGGAAAACTTGCAACAAGAGTAAGTTTCGAACATCCAAATGAGATTACAGATGCTCAAAAAATGTACTGGACAGGAACACACCAAAACAGGTTTTCAAAGCACAAAGCTCTAATTTGTTTCAATTTAACACAGCTCACATGTTGTTCAAATGTGCTCTCCTGATGGCCCTGCAAAATATCTTAAACGAAATATGTAACACTGGTTCTAATGACACAAAAGTAAAGTGATAGCTTGAACTGTAATGCCACCTGTTAAATGTGGGTTTTTCTTCATTATGTTCTTTTTGCCAAGGACATTCTGAAAGGCTTGATTAAAAAAAGAGTGACAGGCACAAAGACTGCCCATTCTTTAAAACACAAATCTTCGATCAAAGAACTTCATTCATTTATCTTTCTACATTTTAACTCTTCTAGGAAAGGGTGCTTCTATTTTGCTAGTGCATTTACGAGTTCTTATGCTGTACGGCTAGCCCTTCTCCCCAGCACTGGTCAGAGAGAACCTTCAAGATAACTGGACCCCGAGGAGGTCCAGAACTTACCCGTCCAGAAGATTCATGGTGGTTGATGTCACTTCAGCAAACAGAATTATTTTTCCAAGTTGCCTTGTCTGCAAATTTTGTCGGTAGATCTCTAAATCAAAATTATCTGATGAGAAGACATCCATGTCAGTCACCACAGGTATTGCAGTTGGGGTGATTTCGACTTCAGACGTGTAGGATGGAACGAACTTAAGGGAGAGCTTGCTGGATTTTATTATTCCTTCAGGGCCCATGTGTTCCCCCAGCCACTGCATAAGAGGATCCCGGATTTCCTGTGTCATAAAGAAAGAAATGGAAAGGTCGTAATTTGGCATTACGCTAGATGATGGTAGCTTCTCCTTAAAATGCCATGTTGGTAATATAAGTAGCTCATAATTCATGACTAATAAAAGCCAGATTAACATATTCCAAACATTTAAACTACTACACGGTAGACAATAAGTATGCTAAGCATGCTTATACTATAAAAATAAACTGTTCAGAAACCAGGATCCGAGGAAAGAAGTACAGCTCATTTTACTTTCTATCCTACGTTTTAGCCTAAAGTCTCGAAAGTCCCCTCCAGCTCAAGAGTTCACTAGCAATTATCTAGTCCTCTGTGCATTTTACAGAAAAGTTGCACCTTTATACTTTTGCTCCACAAGAAAACGTGTTGTACTGTCTGGAAGGAAAAAAGAAAACACAGGTGAAAGAATTCACAGAAGACAAAGCACTAAGATAATAGAGCATTTGGCCTAAGCCTTGGGAGGACCTCCACCTCCTCTGTCAAGACCAGCTGACCACCACTAGCCACTGACTGGCCACCAACAAGGGAGAAACAGGTTTTCACTCAGGGAAAATAATGGGGTGCCCAAAAGCTGCGTTCTCTTTGCCCTAGGTAGGGGGAAATAGAAAAGACAGAGGAACCAGTTAAATGACTTCAGAAGGAAGAAATTGGAAGAAATCCAGAAAGTGACAACATTTTACAGAACAGGAATCTTCAACAAGCCAATGCTATGGGGGGTCGGGGGAGGGGCAGAAAGCATTGGGGTGGGCGCGGGTGACTCAAAGTAGATAAGAAGGGGCTTTTAAAGATATAATCAAATACAACGAGTGGTCCTTTATTGGACTCTGGTTTGAATAAACTTGCTGGAAAAGACATTTTGAGACAACTAGGAGATTTTAATATGGATAGTATGTATTAGATAACAAAAAAGAATTACTGTCCGTTTTAGTAGGTATGATAATGGTACTGTGGTGATATATAAAAATGTTCTTCATGTTAGAAATGTGTATATGTCATATGTCTCATTACACCCACAATAGAAGAAGTAAATAAGTCAAAATGCTGGCAATCGTTAAATTTACGTGATGGGTATTTGGGTACTTGTTACACTATTCTCTCTAGTCTTCTAAATGCTTGAAAACTGTCATAATTAAAAGTTAAAAAAACACCAAGAACAGTAAAATAAACATTAGCTACTATAGAAATAACAGAGTCAACTAAACCACGTTGGCGACCCTTCATTCACAAACAAGACGGGATCCTACTGTACGGCAAGCGTTCTCGCGGGCACTGAGGGGGCAGCAACAGACAAAGAGGGTGAGGTCCCAGGCCTCAGAGGGTTTATGGTTCAGCGTGGGGGTCAGATGATAAGGCGTTCAAAAGCACAAGACACAGAATGTCAGACAGTCCTAAGTGCCCAGGAGAAAACAACGAGGCAAAGGAGAGAGGGAAGAAGTGCTGGTAGGGTGAAAGGGGGACCTACTGAGGAGGTGATGTTTAAGGAGAGGGCTGGAGGATAGAAGGGAGGTTGCTGGGATATAATTTTATAATCATATCATTTATACTTACTTATACGGAGGGGTTTACAGGTTCATTGACATAGAGCCAGGGACACAGGGTGAGCAGGGGAGGACCAGGAGCAACTTGGGTGGGATGAGGGGGCAGCGCTGCCCACACCGGGCAGGGCCCCAGAGCCACAGTGAAAACTGGAGCTTTCATTCCAGGAGAGGAGGGAGCCCTGGAGGGTTTCCAGGAGGGGAGTGAGGTGACCCGAGTCCGTGACAGCAGAATTGCTCCACTCTGAGGGCTGCGTGGAGAGCAGATTGAGGGGGAGCAAACAAGTGGAAGCAGAGGCCAGTTATAAAGACTCTTAAATTCCCCAGGAGGCAGGCGATAGGGCCTGGCCGGGCGGGGCAGTGGGCACGGTGAGAAAGGATGGGGCTCTGTGTACACGCCCGGAAGCAGCAGCCGTAAGATTTGCTGGTAGATCACACTGGGGGTACCAGAGGCAGTGAGGAACCACAGACAAGCCGAGATTTCTGGCCTGAGCCCTTGGAAGGCTGGGGCTGCTGCTGGACGTACCGAGACAGGCGCAGGTCCGAGAGGAAGAGCAATGGAGGGGCAGCAGGACATCGGGAGTGCAGGGGACACGTCCAGGCTACGGCTATAAATTTGGGGATCGCCAGATGACAGGTGATAATCTGAGACAGGCTGAGAGCGATGAGGGAGTGGCTGTGGATGAAGACAGGGGTTGTCTTGGTTTCCTGGGGCTGCCACAGCCAAGTGCTACAAACTGAGTGGCTTAGAACAACAGAAATGTGTTCTCACAGCTCTGGAGGCCGGAAGTCTGAGGTCAAGGTGCCATCAGGGCCACGCGCACTCTGAAGGCCGTAGGGGGGCTGTGCTCTAAGCCTCTCTCCTCGCTTCTGGTGTTGCCAGCATCTTTTGGCCACCATCATCACACGGCCTTCTTCCCTCTGCGTGTCTGTCTCTCGTCCCCTGCCTATAAGGACACCAGTCATACTGGATCAGGGCCCACCCTAATGACCTCATCTGAACTTGATCACATCTGCAAAAACCCAATTTCCAAAAAGTCACATTCACAGGTTCCGGGGGTGAGGACTTAATGTATCTTTCTGGGGGACACAATTCATCCCACAACAGGGATCAATACTTAGGTGTCAAGCAGATGAGGAGGAGCCTGCAAAGGAGACTGAGAATGCAAAAAGGAAATCGTGTGTGCGTGTGTGTGTGTGTGTCCAGGAGTCACATGAGGGCAGCTCTGCAGGCACGAGAAGGCAGATGATGACGGGGCAGTCAGAAGGGGCTGAGAGGTAACCGCTTGACGGCAATGGTGGAAGAAGAGAAAGTGCAGACCCCAGGACAAAACTCTGGCAAGGAGTTTCCTCGAAAGAGAAAAAAAAAGAATGGGGCAGTGGCTAGAGGGAGGAATGGAGTCAAAACAGGTCTGGTCTGGTCTGGTTTGGTGGAATAACAGCATGTCTTTTTGTTATAATATGAATGGTCCTATCAAGAAAAAACAAGAGGTGAACAGGTGAGGGTGGGACCTATGCTCAAGCAGAGAGGTCGGCCCAGGGAGCACAGCTGCTCCTCCACGGGATGGACAGGGCTCACATCCCCTCTGGGGACACCCAGCTCGGCTTCCCCACTGGGTCACAGCCCCTTGCCCTTTGCTGGCCGCACAGCCTTCCAGGACAGCCCTGGGCACTGACCTATGCTGCCACCACCTGCTCAAAGGCCGCGTGGAGATGGGAGTCCTGCTGCTGGGGGCTGATGACATCATCTTCTGATTCCTTCTATTTTCTCGACAGACAGGAAGCAAGATCATCAGCTAAGAGCGAAAAGGAGGACGGAGGTGTTGGGAGGCTTTTGAAGGGCAAGTGAGAAAATGAAAGAAGCAGGGGAAAGAGTATGAGGACCGGGAAGCATTCAGGAACCACCTAAGCTCAGTGGTTCTGACGTTAGAGTAGGCAGTCAGCACAGTTTGTGTTTTTGTGCAGCTGCGCTCGGCGACACAGCCATGCAGGATAGGCATGGAGAAGGCAGATGGCGTCAACAAGGCAGCGATGTGACTGACCCCCTCCACCTGAGGCCCTGACGGTCCTGGCCTAAGAGCTCAGCCCAGTGGACAAAACAGGGTGGGATGCTGCCAGAGGGAGGAACCAAGTGCCCCTCGAGGAGTGCACAACAGGAGGTGATCCTGCCTGAACGGGCACCAGAAAAGTCATCGGAAGAGGTCAGGCTGAAGTGAGCTATGGGGAGCTACAGCTGTATCCTGTACACATGCTAACTTTCTATCTTCGCACAAAGAACCAAGATGAATTTTCAATGGAATAGTCCCTGTTCATGGTTATTTCTTTGATATGCACTCTCCTTGAGGAAGAACACAGAATTAATAAGTAACACACAAAGGCAATGGGCTGAGTGTTGGTTCCCCCCAACACACAAAATTCATATATTGAAATCCTAATCCCCAAGGTGATGGCATTTGGAGGTGGGGCCTTTGACATCACGATGGTGGGGCCCTCGTGAAGGAGACTGGTGCCTTTACAAGGCCCCGCCAAGAGCTCCCCTGCCCTCTTGCCAAGCGAGGACACAGCAAGAAGATCTATGACCCAGTAGAAGGTCCTCACCACAACCAGCCAGGCTGGCTTCCCGATCTCACTCAGCCGTCCAGGCTCCAGAAGCGTGAGGAATAAACGTGTGCTCTTTACAAGCCGCCCCAGTCCGTGCTAGTCTGTTTGAGCAGCCTGAATTGACAATGACACCCCAGACCTCAAATCTGTCCGTTAGTTATAACCCGCCTCTGCTCCTTAAACTTTGGTCAACGCCCTTCCGACAAAGGGGGAACAGGCCGGAATGTCTTTCATCACCTTCCCCAGGGCGGCTGGGTGTCACAAGGGTACCACACAGGCAGAAGATATGTATCGGTGAAGAGGGTAAGTCACAAAATAGGGAGGTGAAATAATCTAGGTAACAGAAGTTTCTTAACTCCAGTTTTCATTAACTCAAGCAGAGTTAAGCCGTTATTCAGCAGGTATAGGCAACGTAAATGAATCCCCCATTCAAAGTCAATGAAAACCAGGATGAAGCCAAAAAGAAACAGTTAGCACCAGGTGGAAATTCCAGACCAGAATAAAGCAGGGAATCTCCTCTGGAGTGAATTATCCAACTGGCCATGTAGACATCACTCATCTAAGAAATACATATGGAGAGAGCTTCCGGCTGGTGAACACGAAGAAGTCGCCTGGAGAGGGCTTGGAAGCTCTGTCCCCTTTCCCTATATCTTATCCTAAGCATCTCTTCCATCTGACTGTTCCTGAGTTACATCCTTTTACAAATAAACCGGTGATCTAATAAGTAAAAAAAAAAAAAAAAGAAAAGAAAAGAAATACGTATGGAGTGCTTCCTGTGTCTCAAAAATGGCGCCACAGGGGGAAGAGAGGAGGAGAGACCAACATGCATACACTCAACTACAAGAGTATG